TTTTTTTTTTAATTTTTTTTTTTCTCCCCAGTCAAAAAGACTTGGAGCTCTAAACAGATTCAAGTCTGGAGATTGCAAGATTCTTATCTGCACCGATGTTGCCAGTAGAGGACTCGATATTCCATCCGTAGATATGGTTATCAACTATGATATCCCGACAAACTCAAAGGTTAAAAAAAAAAAAAAAAAAACTTACTAAAAAGAACAACAAAAAAAAAGTTTGACTAGTTACTGGTCTAAGTTTTGGAAATGTGTTGTAGGATTATATACATAGGGTGGGGAGAACAGCTCGTGCAGGACGATCGGGTGTGGCGATATCCATTGTGAATCAGTATGAGCTGGAGTGGTATTTGCAGATCGAGAAGCTCATAGGTAATAAAGAGGCTTTATGCCATAGTGTCACGGTACAAAAAGAAACATCTCAATTGATAATCTTAAAATATCTTGAAAATACATCACTGTTTACATCAGGTAAAAAGCTGCCCGAGTATCCAGCTCAGGAAGAAGAGGTTTTGTTGCTACTGGAACGCGTTCAGGAGGCCAAACGAATAGCTCAAATGGTACGCGGTTGATTATTTATCCTCTTTTTAATAATAATAATAATAAAAAAAAAAGAAGGTGCCTTGAGTATGAATTGTTCGAGTTCACATGGTTTTGCAGGCAATTAAGGAAGGTGGAGGCAAGAAGAGGAGAAAAGGTGATGGTGGTGATGATGATGGTGAAGATGAAATCAAAAAGTATTTGGGCGTTAATAAAGGGAAAGGGAAAGGAAAAGGGAAATCGTCCAAGAAGGCTAAAAGAAGGTGATTGGAGATTCATCCATGAATTGTAATGTATTTAATCTTGATTTCATTCAGTTTTGTGTTGATTTAACTTGTGATAGTAGAGAGTTGAAAACGAAAAATTGCTCTGGAAATCTTTTTCGAACATGGACAATCATATAAATCTCTACTTTTTTCTGGTTGATTTGGAAAGAAAATGGATTGAAATGTCAAAAAAATTTGTAGGAATTGAGATTTGTTATTTTACATTTTTACTACGAATAATTGGTGGTTTTGTAGGAATATTTTTGTAGTTCGGTATGACTTTTTTTTTGCGTGTATAGTGTGCTTTTGTCATTCAAGTTTTAGAATTTGGATAAATAATAATCTATTGATAATTTACATATGTATGAGAAAGATAATTTCAATAGATAAGATAATAGTTATTATATGTAAATGTAAATATATATTTATGTGTTTTGCGTTTAAAAGTAATTAATTGTCAACTATTGTTAATTATTTGTTATTACTGATTTCTTCCACTAATGCTTGTCTGACTCGCTGGCTTATTGATACTTGAGCTCGAATTCAGACTTTTTATTAGCTTGTTAACAAAATGTGCTCTTAAGCTAGTATTAACAAGTTAGAATTTAGACTTTAACTTGCGGAACTCAATTCTTATCTCAGATCTTTATTTAGAAAGTCGAGCCAACAGGGATTCGCTTCCTTAATTGTTCTTGTACCGGTTTTGTTATGAAGCAAACAATTGGTTTCATAGTGGAGCCAACCTTCTATATACAACAAATAAACCTGCTATATTCGCTGATTATTTAAATAACACTAATATAATTTTATTAATATGGTAGGTTTATTTGTTGTATATAGAAGGTTGGCTCTACTATGAACCAACAGTTGGTTTCATAGCAAACCGGTCATGATGTAGGATACAGGAAAACAGGGAAGAAGAATTTATTGTGGATTGCTATTTACCGCCCCTCCTATTACTAGTCACCGCCCCCCCCAATTACGAAAATACCTTTTACTATATTTTTGAATTCTC